TCATCGGCAATATCTTCAAAATCAAGTTTAGCTCCATTTTGTTTATCTGAAAAGGTTACATCATTTGAAGATTCGACAGCATTTTGCTTCTTACTCTTTGAAACTCTGCTTCTGGTCTTTCTTTTTGAGGTAGTTGGTTCATTTGAATCATCTTCGTGAGCCTTTAAAACTTCATCCTCCACCAATACTGAAGATGATATATCTTTAACATCCTGTTTAGTGATTCTCACAGTCTTGGACCTACCTCTTGTACGTCTGGTTGTGGTAGGTAATTCACTAGGGACATTACTTTGTGAATCAGCTCCTTCAGATTCAATATTATCAAAATATGGTGATTTGGTTCTACGTCTTTTAGGTCCCATAAATAATTGACAATCAAAACAAAACACAATAATCAACAAGAAAAACAAATGAAAGTCACATTTTTGTTCAAAAATAACTATTTAAAAGGCGGTTTAATGTGTTCCAAAAACAAAAAAATAAGAGAAACCTTGAAAACAGCTAATGCCATCTGTAGTCTCTTGTGATACAAGGTTATATGTTTTTGGACATTAGTGCATTGGGAAGCCTCACCTGAAACTACTGATGGTCATCGCTGTTTCTTCCTAAGATCACAGTTCAAAAGATTAAAATATACAAGTTTATGTGTAGCGTGACTCATAATTTTTTGAACATAAAAGAAACAGCAAAAACAAAAATATCTGCAAATGAACATATATAAATATATAAGAATATACATTTACATGTATTTTTTCATCTTTTTTTATATTTTAAATATTTATATCTGTAATTATAGATGCATTTGATTATTTATATATGTATAGTATGCATATTTTTGTTTTCATAATTGGCGTTTTGGGAAGTTACTTTGAATTTTTTCTTTGATCAAAAATCAGTAGGTTAAATCTATAACACCGGAGTTTTTGATCCTTTCTACAAGGAGTCTTTGGAGAGTGTCGATTTCGTCTTGGTATTTTTTGATATTCTCCGTTAAAGTTTCCTTTTGTTTAATTAGTTGAGCTTTTTTGGCTTCAAGTTCGGTAATTTTTTGAATCTTTTTGTTACGGCACTTGGCTGCTGCTTGACGATTCCTCTCTCGTTTTCTTTCCAATTTCAACTTGTCTTCATCAGGTAACGTAGATCCATTGCTGTTGCTGTTGTTGCTAATATTATTGATGGTATCATTAGATGAAATATTATTGTTATTGTCACTACTGTCGGTATTATTACTGTGGTTACTACTTTCCATAGTGGGTAAGACTTCGAGAGCAGGGGTTAGATTAGGTATTGTTGGAGGAAATTGAGCAACCATTGAATCTAATTGTGGACTGGAGATGATTACTTTGTTTAAATCAGGTGTTTGTAGAAAATCTGCATGATTTACGCGCTTGAGATCCAAAAAAGTAGGCTTCGGAAGTTTACGATGAGATGATTGCCACCCTAAATCACCAGGTATCTTAGTTTTGGTTGCACCATTTTCCTGTGATATCTGGTTTTTTTCTCCATCATCTGAATTTGCCATGATTCACTTAGATAAACTCACCACCGGTAAAAAAATATAAATTTAAAACAAAAATAAATTAAAACAAACTATTTGTCATTAAAAATGTTCACAATTAGACAGGACGAGAAAATTGCAACCCATAACACAACAAATTGTTTTATTTTGCCATTAGTGGTTCTTTAAGGCGTTAGAAGAGGGAGTCGTATAGAAGAAAAAATGCGCTCACTCAGTAAGAAGATTTAATTTTAAGCGCTTTTTTCGAACCAATGGAAAGATTAGTCATAACTTGTTTGCATTGTTTGACTGTATTTACATTACAGTGAAATTAACAATGACATTCTGAATCAATAAAATTATTTAATCTAATGGGAAGATGAAATTGAGGGAAACAATAAGATTTAAAAATGAAAAGATTGAGATTGACTCAATTCCTTTAAATAATCTCTATTAAAAATACTTTAGCACCCAATACTGGTTATTACCCAATCGACTTCGGTCAAGTTGATGACTAGAAACTGAAAGATTACTCATATCATAAGAATGGTGGCAATTAAAAGTGAAATCAAAGAACCGGTGAAAATTCACTGACAATCACGAAACTCTTTCTAATTTTCCTAGTTTGAATCAGTCCAGGTGTGAATTCTGTATCATCAAACATACGTCATTTCATGAAACTAATAGATTAGCAATTGAAAAAATGAAGTTAGAAGTGATAAATTAAAGTTTGTATTTTAGATTTGCTTGAAGTTCAAAAATTTGTCTTATATTTTTTAATTTCCACCATTAGTTGGTGTACATTGATTAAAGAGCTACGAGAAGGATTATTTTTAAATATATTAAGGAAAACGATTTTATGGAATCTATGATAATATTGTATGAGTTCAGTTAAAGCTGCTTGTTGTATATTATTACCGCATTTAAAGTTGGTAAAATTTTGCATAACTTCACGGTTAATTTCATCAATTGCTTTTCTCCAACCATTGTTAAATGTTTTAACAATATTGGCAATCTTGGGCTCTTCACGTTTCAACAATTCGGTATCATCTCGTTCCAAATATGATTCACAATCTTTAACAAAACGAAGCATACCACCAAAATGAGGATCCAAGAGCTCTGCAACATAATCTTCGATTCGCTTGCTTAAATGTTGCTTGATGTTCTGAGATTCCTTTGATTCTTCTTTAACACGTTCCAATAGGACGTTTAAAATCATGTCATAATTGTTTATTAAGAAAACAAGATATTCTTTAGGGTTATTGAAACGTCCAGCCATCTTTAGAATGAAATTTTCAACTTCAGTTTGCAGACAGCCAAGAAGAATAGAAACTCTCTCGTCAGGAAATGTATCATTAATTGCCATTATTGCAGCAGAAAATTCAGCATAACGTCGTGTAATATAGTGTGGTCGAGAGTCACAATTTCCTAATTTTTCGGGATCACAATTTTTAACACTTTGAATTTGCATTTGGAATATAGTTTCGAATCGAGGCCAAAGTATTTCAACCATGGATTCCCAATAATTATCTAATGCTGGGACAGCTCGTTTATGAGATAGTAACCGGTATCGATAAACAATGTGAAGACACAAAAATAAACCAATACAATCGTAACTAGAACGAAATTCTTCTTCACAAAGATGCAAGATAAACTTCAATGTTTTTCCAAGAATTCGTTCAAATAACATGAATGCAGCTTCATTTTTGAGCATGAAATAATCAACACAAAACAGATATTCTCTACAGCCATTATCAACTACGGCATATTGATGACTTCGGAAGAGAGCTTCCATTGGAAATTTGGTTTCCATTTTGGTTGCAGTATGTGGAATGATTAATGGTGACTCTAGTTCGGTTGTGACTATGTTTCCTCGGTTTCCCAATGTGAATATGGTTGATCTGTTTTTAAGGGTTTGTTTACCCGTAAAGAAGGAAACTTTAGATTTGTGAGAATCATCAGCAGCCATAAGATCATCTTTATCTGGCAGCTCATCAAATTTTAACTTAGATAATCTAGATATGTATTCTTTGAAGTAGGAAAAATACACCTTGCTCATGGTATCGACATACTCTTGTTTCACTTCACGAGCAATTTCACGTGCGTGTGTACACAGGAAGGTGTAGAAGAATTTGTTCTTCAAGAGAGCATTTTGTTCCATTTGATAATTTGACATGGCTCGTCGGCAGAATTGTATCCTTTTCAGGATATACTCTCGTATCTTTGAAATAGCTTTAACTTTCAATTTTTCCAATATCTCTTTAACATCCTGACATGGAAGTGACTCCCTGGTGCTTTCGTTGCCCACAAAATCAATTTTTTGGTCTAATATCATAAGATTATCGATAAAGTCCTTTTCACTTGCTGGCGTGTCAAGTATATGAAGCATAACAGGCTCAGGGACAACAATCTCATCAATGTATTGAACCAGTTCACTCCTTAAGGCTTGTTTATTTTTTAATCGTATATTCAAGGACAACGATTGCTCCTGAAGTGACAAAATTTCTTGACATATGTTACCAAGGTCAGCCTGAAATGTTACCAACATTTCTTCCAATTTCTCCAAAATTGAGTCACACTCATTAATATCACTGTGAAGTGCAGCAATATTGCTACTTTCACTGATGTAGTCAGCAACCGAGGCATTAACAGCCTCTCTTAATTTATTCTCGATAACCTGACTGTAAAATCTCAGGTCAACTGCTGAAGATAAAATATCTTTAATAAAATCATCGCCGATTAAATCCTCTGGAAGAGTACAGCTAGGAGAAGACTGCATTTAACACCTTGACCAAGAGTACTAACGCAGAATATTTTCACTGCTGATTTGACACCGAAGAACTCACTTAAGTTACAATTTTCAAATAACTTTACTATGCCCGAAATAAAACTCCAATTGCTTAAAAATATGAGGACTACCTAGCTTTAAAAATGATTAAAAAAACTTGATGGACAATCAAGATGAAAAAAACATCAATACACTGGATTTAATACAGTCAACATTGAGAAAACTGTATTTCACTGGAAATAGCTTACTTTGACTATTCATCGGGCAGTGTAATTTCATGATTTTCAATCTTACATTACTTAATAGATTAAATTGATCTCAGATCGCATTAATAGATCAAGCTTAGCTTATAAAATCGTTTTTAAATTTTTTAAGAGTTATCTAAATCACAATTCTCAAACGAAAATTAGATTGAGTTAGTTGATCATGTCAAGATTTGTAATCATTGGAAGTCAGATTCTCCACGAATTAAAATCCAGTGTTCGTAATTACTTGATCAGATATAAAATACTTTGCCTTTTGGCGTCAAATTAAAAATATAAAAAATAATCCAATTTCATTAAACTGTTTGATCTTGGATGAAACAGATCAAAATTAACTTAAAATCAATGAACACATTTTAAGAGAGCTTTTGTAACAATCAGAAGTCAATTTTCTGGCGATATATGATGTTTTTTGTCAATTATTTAGGTGATTGCTCAAATTTAGTTTTATAAAATTTCCTAGAAAGGTTTTTATTTCATCGGGATTTCAATTAAGTATTAGATTTTAAGTGTTTTATCCATTTATTCAACATTACAGATTAATCAGAGTTGAAAAAAGCGCTGAAGTTGTTGGCTTATTGAGTGAGCGCAATTTGAGGCGCCCTCTAGCGTTACAAAATTTACTACATTATTTTTTTCACCCGAGCGTTGTTTTATTGAAATTTTCAATTCATCAATTATAGTTAATTTTTGCATTAAATTAAAAATTGAAAGAAAGTTACCATGGCAGATTCAGATGAAGGAGAGAAGACCATTGCCCAGGATATTGTTGTCACAAAATATAAAATGGCTGGCGAAATGGTCAATCGTAAGTTAACTTGATTCTTGAAACTCGACTGTTTTCACAATAATCTTACACGTGTTCCAGACTTAGCACTATCTTGGTCTTGATTAACTAAATTTTTGTTAATTTTCATAATTTTTCATCTTTCACTATTTGTATTCGTTTCCCCTTTGACTCGCCGTATGGTCACAAGAAAAATTCATCTAATGAACTGTGTTAATTTATAATTCTCATTTTTTTCTCTTTCTCTTTTTTGGTAGGTGTTTTGAAAGCATTGATTGCTAAGTGTAAGGCTGATGAAAGTGTCCTTACGATCTGTGAACTTGGTGATAAACTTCTCACCGAAGAAACTGGCAAAGTTTTCAAAAAAGAAAAGGAGATCAAGAAGGGAATAGCCTTTCCTACCTGTGTATCTGTTAATAACTGTATCTGCCATTTTTCACCGCTTAGAAGTGATCCTGAAATCAAATTAAAAGATGGGGATGTTGTTAAAATGTAAGTTGATGTTTAGTTGTTGAGTCTCATTTCTTTTTTCATTTTTAACTGTTGGTTTACTAAAGTTAAACTCTTTCTATTTATTCACAGAGATTTAGGAGCCTACATTGACGGGTTCATCGCAGTTGCCGCTCATACTTTAGTTGTTGGAGCTTCGAAAGAAAATAAAGTTACTGGTCGAAAAGCTGATGTAATTCTTGCGGCTCACTATGCTGCTGAAGTTGCACTAAGATTGGTCAAACCCGGAGGTGAAAATTATGCAGTCACCGATGCTATCCAAAAAGTTGCAGAAACATACAACTGTAAACCCGTTTCTGGAATGTTGTCGCACCAATTGAAACAATTCAGAATTGATGGAGAAAAATCTATTATTCAAAATCCAACTGAAGCTCAGAGAAAAGAGCATGAAAAGTGTGAATTTGAATTGCATGAAGTTTACGCAGTAGATATTCTAATTTCTACAGGTGAAGGAAAAGTAAGTTATCCTATTCTTTTTCATTTGAAATTTATTTGAAAAGGTTTACATTTTTTGTTGAAATTATCTAAATTTACTTGTTCCTTTTTTTCAGGGACGAGAATTGGATGCTAAAGTTACTGTCTACAAAAAGACTGATGAGATCTATCAATTAAAAATGAAAGCATCTAGAACTTTCTTTAGTGAGATCGAAAAGAAATTCGGAAATATGCCTTTTACCATGAGAGCTTTGGAAGATGAGAAGAAAGCTCGCATGGGCGCTGTAGAATGTGCTAATCATAAGTTAATTGAAGCTTTCAATGTCTTGTATGAAAAAGAAGGCGAATTTGTTGCCCAATTCAAATTCACTGTTCTTTTGATGCCCTCAGGATCCCATAAAATTACCGGCCTTCCATTTGATTTAGATTTATTTGAATCTGAATTTAAAATAGAGGATCAAAGTATTAAAAGTTTGCTAGAAAAAGGAACAAAAGTTGCTAAAAAGAAGAAAAAGCCAGGAAAATCAGAACCCACACCTGGAGGAGATACCGCTGATGATAATACTCCAGCAGCAGAAGATTGATCATCATGGTAACCTTCGAATCTGCAAATGTACATCTTTCGTCAGCTGTTTACATTCTAATATGTAAACGGACAACAACATTAAACGATTGAATGGCATTCTTCAATAAAAAGAACATTTTGTTTAAAAAAAGCAGCTTCCAAATGAATTTTTTCAACTATGAAACTAATTTTGAAATATTCACAGATTAAGCTTGTTGTGAATCTAAAATCTAACAATTAGGTTATAAAAAAATAAAACAACATGTTTTGAGCTCAATTCAGTTTTCTCTATTGAAGTTAATAGCAATGACTGAATTTCTTTAGCTCTTATCATCTGCAAACAGAAGGTTTGACCAATATCTGACCCGTTCAAGCAATTTTTCTCAAAAAGGCTTGCCTGTAAGTCGCATAGTGTCGTTATAAATGAAGCTGAATAAATTGTTCGAGTATTAACCTATTATCCTTTTTCCAGTTTCTTTATTATCAGATTTTTTATGATAAGGACTATGGACAAAAACTTTGACTTTCGAGTTGTGAGTTGAAATTGATGGTTTGTAGGGACACAAAAACTGAGTCCATTAGTGATATTAAAAATTTTCTGGGAGATTCGAGTCTAAAGTTGAAACTTGGGTCCCTTTTTGTATAATTATGAAACCAGATTTTTGCATGAAACTCATTTATCTGATGTAACTTTTGATAGTCAATAAACAAATTCACTTATTTTGTCAAATAAAATTTTCTATTTCTTTAAAACAAAGTGTTTCGATTTTATTCGTTATTCCTTCTGCTTACTGTGATTGTAAGAGTTAGAGAACTAAAACTTATTATTATCATAATATAAAAATTGTTAGCACACATCATCGCTTGCTATGAACATATAAACTAGAGAGGTTAAACTTATTATTCGTAGACAAAAATTGTTGGTACATAACAACAATCAAACATTTTTTCCAATGTATCCACAGTTCTCTTGCTTTTGACTATTGGCCTAAATACAATGTATTTTGGGTTACGACAATTCGAGAATAGTAGTAACTGAAAGCATCATAATTGGCACATCTTGAAATTTTATTGTAAAAATATTCATTTAATCTTGAAATCGAGATCATACAGAAAAATAAAAATTAATAAAATTCAAGTCAATCTTCTGGTTGTCACAAAAAAACACAATTGACAAAAAAAGGCACAAATGGTTAAGAATTCATTTATTTTCGGATTTAGACTTTGTTGGCTTGCAGGGAAATATAACTGGATCCATCGATGCGATTTAAAGATTTCTCTGATCAATAGTTTTCGATGAAATAGAGTCCCAAGTTGAAACTTCGATCGCTTTTTGTTCATTTAAGAAAGCAGACTTTTCAATAAAACTCATTTTCTTAATGTAAATTTCAATGGCTAACCAGAAAATGCACATATTTTGAGGACTAAAATTTTCTGTCTTCTGTAAAACAGATAAGTTCGATTTCCAGTTAAACCGATCGCTTTCGATAAGCGTGCGAGTTAATGAGCTGAAACTTGTTCTGAGTCCATAAAAATTGTTGCCTCACACCATACATTGAATAATTTTATCAATTTAATAACAGTTCTCTTTTTTTTGACCATTGCTATTGCCAAAAGTTTTAGAATCAGGGATCGTGCTCAACCAGCCTTTGTCAAACAAATTTCTGAGTGAATATCAATGTGTGGACCCTTGTCTCTTCGAATTTTTGCACCATAAGTTATTCCTCTGATTATCATTTCGATATTTTGTGGTTAACGCTCATAAACAGCATTTAGACTGCTTTCAATGAAAACATACAGACAACATGATAAACACAAGTTTGCCATAAAAGTCAGTAACAGAATTGAAGCAGTGAAAATTTCATTCATGTAAATCTACTTAATACTCCAACTTACTGACAACGAGAACTCATGCCTTAGATTTCATAGATACTCCATAAAGTACCAGAATGCGATAGAACAATGCAATTGAAGATTTAATTTAAAATCAAATTGTATTACTTAATAAAGGACTATGGACAAAACCTGCGACTTTCGAGTTGAGACTTGGTTTAGGATTGTTTAATCTGAGTCCATTAGCGCTGTTAAAAAACTTTTCATTCGAAAATCCGGATGTAAGTGCAAGATTAACAACTTAATTAAACAAACCTCAACCCATTTCTTGGTAAATAAAGCAATTTTCTGGTTAATGTAGCAAATGTAATGCAAAGATCAATGCCAAAGCTTCCAAACTTTGAGTTATGAGTTTAGACTTGGTGGAGTTTGTACGGACATAAAAACTGAGTCTATTGGTGCGATTAAATAATTCATACGATAAATAGTTTTCTAGAAAATTAAGGTCAAAGCCGAAACTTCGATCGCCTTTTATTCAGCTATGGAGACAGATTTTTTCATAAAACTCTATTTTACTTATGTAAATTTTGATGGCTAACCAGAAAATGCACATATTTTGAAGACTAAAATTTTCTGTCTTCTGTAAAACAGATAAGTTCGATTTGCAGTCAAGTCGATCGCATTTGATAAGCGTGCGAGTTAATGAGCTGAAACTCAGTACTTGTCCATAAAAATTGTTGATACATATCAACAAACCAAAACTTTTTTCAAAATATTAACAGTTCTCTCGAGTTCGGCCATTGGACTTAAAACTTTGGGCCTCGAATTTTCGAGTATGTTTGCTCCTAAACTCATCATTCTTTGAGCTATCAGTACATTTTATTATTACCTAAAATAACTTAAAATTTCAGGTGATTGAAAATGTAAGAAAAAAAGTCATAGCACTATTTTACTTATGCTGTCTGATTTATAAAGATGAATTGCTACTCAAACACAAATTCATTATTAGCTGATTTAGCTCAATTATTTTCATTATTCGATAATGTTCTGTAGATTTATTATCTAGCCGTGCTGAAATCTACTGATGATTCAAATAATCATGATTTTAGGAGAAACCATTCTCGAAGAATCGAGGTTCAAGTTTTAAGTCCAATGGCGAAAATCGAGAGAACTGTTGTTAAATTGGAAAAAGTTTTTGGTTGCTGATGTGCACCAACAATTTTCATCTGTAAATAATAAGGTTTAAGCTCTCTAACTCTTACGCTCATCGAAAGCGATCGGTTCAACTGCAAATCGAACATTATCCGTTTTACAGAAATAGAAAAAGTTTTTCCTCAAAGTAAGACCACTTTCTGGTTGGCCATCAAAATTTACATCAGGAAAGCAGAGTTTTATGAAAAAATCTGTCTCTTTAGCTGAATAAAAGGCGATCGAAGTTTCGGCTTTGACCTTAATTTTCTAGAAAACTATTTATCGTATGAATTATTTAATCGCACCAATAGACTCAGTTTTTATGTCCGTACAAACTCCACCAAGTCTAAACTCATAACTCAAAGTTTGGAAGCTTTGGCATTGATCTTTGCATTACATTTGCAACATTAACCAGCAAATTGCTTTACTTACCAAGAAATGGGTTGAGATGTGTTTTGTTTGTTTAATTAAGTTGTTACTCGTGCATTTACAACCCAAAAATCATGACCTAAATACGCTAATGAATAGTTATTGAATTAAATTTAATTAGTAATCAGTAAAGAATGAATTTGCAAAAGAATAATGATTGTAGGTAATGCCATTCTCAAAATATCGAGGCTCAAACTTTTATGGCCAATGGCCAAAATAAAGAGAACTGTTATTAAATTGATAAAATTATTCAATGTATGGTGTGAGGCAACAATTTTTATGGACTCAGAACAAGTTTCAGCTCATTAACTCGCACGCTTATCGAATGCGATCGACTTAACTGGAAATCGAACTTATCTGTTTTACAGAAGACAGAAAATTTTAGTCCTCAAAATATGTGCATTTTCTGGTTAGCCATTGAAATTTACATTAAGAAAATGAGTTTTATTGAAAAGTCTGCTTTCTTAAATGAACAAAAAGCGATCGAAGTTTCAACTTTTAACTCTATTTTCTCGAAAACTATGGATCAGAGAAATCTTTAAATCGCACCGATGGATTCAGTTTCATGTCCCTCCAAGTCAACAAAGTCTTAATCCGAAAATAAATTAATTTTTAACCATTTATGTCCATTTGTGTCAATTGTGGGTTTTTCAGTAACAATCCAATCTTTTATTTTATTACATACTCCTAGCAAGATTATTTGTATGATTTAAAGCCACATGTAAATTAGCGAAATGGTTACAGAGTTTTGTAGATAATCATGACGTGTTTCTTCTTTCAATTGACTTTATTTTCACCTTGTTAACCATTAACGATTGATGAAAAGCTGGACGTTAATTGCTATATGATTTTTGTAACTCGTACCTGAAATGAATGGAATGAAACTGATGAAACCTTCTGAGCTTTGAAATGCGTTTTAATATCCTCTGATTGTAAATAATCCAATTAGGTGATTTTTCTGAGCTAACAGTCAAAGCTCAATAACATTTTATTATTTTCTCGTTTTCTCATATTTTTATGATTTTGTTTGAATGACAGAGTTTATGTATCTAACATACGATAATACAATGGTTTATTCATTTTAACAGCAGCTGCTTATAAGAAAACAATAGATTTGCAAGTTTATGAAATGCGGACTTGATGAATCAGGCAGAATTGTTTTTTTCAAATGAGCCTCGACATGTCGATCAAATTATTTGACAGTATTTCCGATCTATTTTACGTGAGACTGTGGTGAGTATCGCTAGTATATAATGCATCTTTTTGTCGAGTTTCAAATCATTATCTTCAGATTATTCGAGTTTAAAGTTTGATTTGATTTACAAATTCCCTTTCAAAATGCGTTCATTTACCATTGCTATTTTAGCTGTCGTTATCTACACTGTTTCAGCAGCAGTCGTACCACAAGAAGAGCTGTCCACTGGTAGTACCATCGACAATGAGGTAAACAATGAAGCTGAAGATCTTTTGAAAAACATTGACGAGTTGCTTAAGGAGATCGATAATGCTTTGGCCAACCAACCTCGACCACCCTTCAACATGCCACTTCAACCACCATTTGTCCCACCTCCATTTGGACCTCCAAGACCATTCAGACCTCCACATTCTCATGATGATGATGATGACGACGACAGTGATGACGATGATAGTGACGATGATAGTGATGATGACAGTGATGATGATGACGATGATCACAAA